CCTTGTGTCCTGCTGTGAGTGGCCGTGGCCCTCCGTTCTCCCTGCCTCCACTCTGGCTCTTCCACACTGGCCACCCGCAGGGTCCCTAAAACACAGATCTGACCATCCTCCTACCTGCTCACAACCCACCGCACATGCCTTATCATCCAGCCAGGCTGCAGCTTCAAAGCACGTCCTGCTCTTTCCCGGGGCTGCACTTCTGTCCTTGCTATTCTTGTGGCCCACGATGTTGCTCCTCTCACACACCTGACCAATCCCTATTCATCCTTGGAGAACCAGCTGCTCCTAGAAACCTTGCATGACCCCTAGGTGAGTCACACTTTTTCCCTGGCTGGCCTCTGGGGCAGCACAGAATGCAAGACTGCAGCTGCCCGACTGGTCCATGTCCCCAGCGTGATGTCCTGCTCCACAAAGGAGATGATGAGTTTACAATGACTTAGTGGATCTGAGAGGCCGAAGCTGTGTTGTCCAGTATGTTAGCCTCTAGCCACACGTTGCCCTTTAAACTGCAATGAATTGAAATTCCACAAAGTTCATTTTGTCAAATGACAAAAATTCATTTACTCGGTTGCACTAGTCATACTTCCAGTGCTTAAGAGCCACGTGTGTATAGTGGCTACGACATTGGACAGGGCAGATAGCAGACGTTTCCATCATCACAGAAAGTTCTGCGGGATGGTGCTGGCCTAAGGCGGGGGATAGAGCACTGGGAGATCTAGGTTCCAGCTACAGCTTAGCTCCTGTTACATGCTGAGTTTGGACAAGCCCTTTGTCTCCCTGAGCCTCAGTTTCCTCATCTGTGCTGCCTATCCCACATGCTGTGCAAGGCCAAGCACAGAAAGTGCTTGACAAGGACATTCCATTGGTTCTGCAGCCCCACTGCTTTGGATCAGGCCTAGGTGGACCTTAGGAAGCAGCTGGGCCCCACTGACTGGAGACAAGAGATCCACCTGCCACCTGTAGGCTCCAGCAGCTACAGAAAATAGCTCACAGTCCAGAGCTCATCCAGGAGTCTCCAAGAAGGCAGGCCCTGCAGAGAGCATGGCAGAGTGTACCTCTCCATAGGTTAAACATGCCTGTGTAGGCCTGAAAATCTTGGCCTCATCCCTCCCAAACCCAGAGAGAGGCCCCCGGCAGGGCCGGGGGGGAGGAGGCAGTGCAGGGGCTGGTCCAAAGGGGAGGGAGGCATGGAGAGTAGAGTCAGAAACGCGCTATCAGCACTGCCCGTCCTCCCCACTTCCTTTCCTCGAACAGATCACATCCTGTTATTGTGTGGACAGAGAAGGCCAGGAGCTGGGGAGGGAGGCAGAGCTCAGACCAAGCCAGTGGGGAGAGGTGGACAGAGAAAGAAGGCGCCAGAAGGAATGTGACAGCAGCCCAGCCCTGCCTGACCCCAGGTGGCCTGGGCAGGAGTATGGGACCCTGGAGGGAGGACCAGCACCCCCGGCACAGCTTGCATCACCACTGAGAGAAGATGCTGGGGCTCAGGACAGAAAATGGCACCTCCTCCAGGAAGCCTTCCCCAGCCTCCTCCTCAGGTTCCTTTAATCCAGCAAACATTGACTTGGGGCCTCCACTGCCAGAGCTGGGTCTGCCCTGGGCACTGGGCCTCTCTCTCACACAGCACTCGTCCCCAGGGTTGTAATGCTCTGTGTCCATTCCCCACACCCTGCTTCCACCCAGCCTGTGAGCCCTTGTGGACAGGGACAGGCTGGGCCCTTGCTGGCTCCACGCATTGCTCAGCACGGGCCAGGCCAGAGTAATTCCTGCTGCTGTGAAGGTCTCCCGTTCCCACATCCTCCTCTTCCCTCTTTCTCTCTCTTCCGCCATTCCCAGATCAGCCTCTACCCCAATCTCATTTCCAGGAAGAGTAACGGCTGCTTTCTATAAAACACAAGCACTTTACATACATTATTTTGAAGTCCCATGACAGCCCAGTAAGATGGGTGTTAATATCTTCATTCAACAGATGAAGAAACTGAAGCTCTGAGAGGTAATGTGGTTTGCCCAAAGTCACACGGCTGATACAATAAAGTAGCAGTGCTGGAACTCAGACCCAGGTGCTTCTGACACCAAAGGCCAGACTCTTTCCATGTCTTTCCTGCACACTCCCACCTGTGCCCTGCCGCTCCCTTCTTGAATTGATACCACAGTGCCTGCCCTCACAGTCCACTGGTCCTGTCCCAAACCAGGCCTGCTGTTGGACAAGCTCTCCAGTGCCCACACTGACTGCTCGTGGTCCCGGCAGATTGCAGGGGCAGGCCGAGCTGCTGTCCCCCGCACCCCATAGCCCTCTAGACCTCATTTCCTCCTGCACACAAGGGAGAGATGCCCTGGGTGATCTTAGTGATTGCTGAGCCTCTGTTGCTGGACACTGTGCCCAGCACCATGGTCTGTGTCCATACAGGCTGGTCAGTGGCACTTGCTTGGCTCACATGGGCAAGAAGGGCCAGAAAGGGCGTGCTGGCTTTGGGGGAGCAGTTAGTTGTTTTGCAAACAAAGACGGGGGTTTGGGCAGGCGTGAGGAGGCCAGGCTGCCATGAGCAGAGCAGATAAACACTCCTGATCTTCATACCTCACCCCACCCAGGCCCAGTGTGATAGCCAGGCTGCGGCAGCCCAGCCCAGAAGAGCCCACAGCCCTCATCCCCCTCCCCCAGTAGCACAAGTGGCCCCAGAGCAGAGCTGTCCCTCTGCCCCCGACCAGCCCAGGGTGCTGGTTTCAGGCAGGTAGCAGTGGAGCCAGCATCTTCCTAGGAACGACCATGCCTCTCACTCGTCTCCACTCTTTCATTCCGTGCTGGCCTCAAAACTGAGCAGGAGTTTCTGCACAGGGAATGTCTTCATGCAGCAAGTGCTGGAATGGCCCGTACCAGGTCTATCAGAAGGCGCTGGAGGCAAAGAGATAAATCACTTGTGGCCTCGCTTGGAGGAGCCCCTGAGTCAGAGGACACAGACAAGTGCAGACAAGCAGACAAGTGCAGACAAGCAGACAAGTGCTAGACAGCACAGGGAAAAGGGCCACGGAAAAGGAAGGCCTGGGGGGCACCAAGGAGCCAGCTGACCCCGGAGAGTCAGGACAGTTTCCTGAATGTGGAAGGCAAGTTAACCGAATGAAAGGAGGGTAGGAACACAGGGCGGGGTAGGCTGCCCTGGGAAAAAGCAACAAAAGGTGTAAAAACTGGAAGGTCATTAAGAAAAGAATGTGGTCTGGGACAGAATGTGGTCTGAGACTGGACAGAGCGGCAGGGCCATCTCAGCTGAAGCCTCAGGACTCAGCCCCTTCCCTGCAGAGGGGCCCTGCAGTCCTGGGAGGTGAGGGACGGGTCCTGTCCTGCCAGTCACTATGAGACGTGCGGGCCTGGAAAGACTCTTTTCTTCTCTGGGCCTCAGTTTCCCTATTTGGAGATGTGGACATGAGCTCAGGTGCCCCCAAAGGCCAGGCCAGCTTGGACATTCTAAGGCCTCATGGTTTCTGTCTTGGTGGCCACAGAGTCAGTCCACGGGCTCTTCCTGACCTCTTGGTGTGGAATGCCTCATCCTCCCCTGGGGAAAAGCCCCCTAGAAACATGGCGCTCCCTCTTCCCTCCTTCAGTGTAGGACAGCCAGGCTGCTGTCTTTACCCCTCCCCTGACGCCATCCTCACCCAGGGCTTCGGTGACTCCATCCTGCTAAATCGAATCAACACTTTCCGGCCTTTTCTGGCTTGGCCGCTTGGCTGCACTGGACTTGGCTGAGCACGTCATCCCAAATGCCCTTTGCTTTAGTCTTAGAAACACCACACTCTCCGTTTTCCTCCCACCTCTCTGACCACCCTCAGTTTCTCTCTCTCAAGTCCTTCATCATGCTGTTCCTCCAGCCTGTGCGCACAGGCCAGGCCCTGGCCCAGGGCCCTGCCACCACCACCGCCACCAAGACCCACAGCCAGCTCACCCATGGCTAAATCTCCCCATCCTATCCACCTTGGTACCTCCTTGCCCTCAGCCAGGGAGAGGCACATTTGGGGTCTTCTCAAAACTGAGGAGCTTCCCTGTCCACCAGAGCATGGTCCCCAAGCCCTGTTCTGCCTTTGCCCTCCCAGCTATGGCTGGAGGCACCCTGAACATAGGGGCAGCCAAGTTAGAGCCTGGCAGGATGACCAAGGCTCACCCAAAAGGAGCCAGAGTTATCTGTGAGGTCCCTGAATTCCCCTCTTGGCACAGTTTTTTTTCCTTAATACCGGTCACTTTCTACTTTACTACACAATCAACATGTTTATTGTAGTTTTGTGTGTCTGTAAGCTCACTGTCTCCCCTGCTAGACTGCAGCTCCACTAGAACAGGGAGCTTGGTTTTGTTCAATGCTGGATCCCCAGTAACTAGAACAATACCTGGCCCCTAGTAGGGACTCAACAAATATGTGTTAAATAGGGAAGGGAAAAGGGGAAGGGGAAGGGGAAGAGGAAGGGAAGGGAGGGAAGGGAAGGGAAAGGGAAGGAAAAAAAGAAAGGAAGGAAGGAAGACATGCTTTGTTGGAAGTGCCTGCCTGACCTACTGAAGTCCTCCAAATGGTTCACATGCAGTGGCCTTTCCCAGACACAGAGTCCCTGCCTCTGAACCACATTCCCATCCTGAGCCTCCAGGGAAACCATCCCAGGCAATGGGCACCTGCCTCAGGGCCTCCACTCTTGACTTCCAAAGCCTCTAGCCTCCATCCCCGAGCCTCCCGTCCCCAGGTGCCAGGCCTGTAGCTGCAGAAGCATGAATACCCACCAGCTAAAAGCATAGGTGCACGATGCTGAGGACAGAGGCCCCTTCTGTCAGGCCTGGCAGAGGGAAAAGAATGGAAACCCGGTGGGGGCAGCCTCTCTCCTCCCCACCAGTCCTGCCCTCAGGGTGGGGGCCGGATCCCACAGCTGAGCCCTGCTCCCCCACCTTCAGGGCAGACAGGTCCTTGCCATGCCTTTCCTTTCAATGTCCCAAGTCTGGGGCCCAGGGTACAAAATGCAAGCACAGAGTCCAGGCCCCTTTGTAAAACTTTTATTTAGAAATCTTCCCGATATAGCCTTATATATACACACACGTCATCACCACATGGGTTTTTTTGCTAAAGAGTCACACACCCACAGTGTTGGCCTCTGGGCTGTACAAAGGTCAAGGTACCTGGAGCGGTTACTCCTCTTCTGCAGAAAAATGCAGAGACCAACACAACTCATCACATACAGTACAACATTGACGGAAAGTGCTGGGCCCGCCCACAGAGACAGTGCGCTATGTACACGGGCAGGGGCAAGCCTTCGGCAGGGGTCGGCAGAGGGTCACGTACCATCGGAGTCACCAGTACGGCTAGACCCACTCCCGAAAGGCCAAAACAGCTGACTACAGATTCTATGCCCTTTGTTTTAATTTTGGAAAAGAATAAAAGTTGTACCATCTTGTCATTGAACACTAAAAATAAAAGAATATGAATTTTTCTTAAAAGATGTGATTCCCTCTAGTTCTTACATTCATCTTTGTTCTCCTCAAAAATTTTTGTTTTACCTTTACATTTTCCCCCTTTTGTACAGATACTATCCTTGGAATGTTGCATTTCTTCATGAGTGAGGAGGAGGCAGAGGAAGGAGAAGGGCATGGGGTATGCATGGATCATGAAAACCAACATTCTGGATCTTCTTTAGTTCTTACAAAGACCTAGAAGCCTTGCCCTTCCCGCCCCAGGCCTGTTTGGGGTAGTTCATTACATTTTACACATTCTGCCTGTGTTCCCACATCTCTTCCATTCTCATGCCTGTTCCCTTGCCTTGGAATGAGATGGAAATTAAGACAATCTGGAGAAATGAGGACATTCCAGATGATGCAGGCAAAAGTAGTCTGCCATGTAAACGACCCAAATGCTATGCAGTCAGGCAGACTGGCCCACTGCCTGGGTCCCAGACTAGGGTGGGGAATCCCACTGCTGGATTGATACTGAAGGGAACAGAGGTCTTTATGGTCTCAAAACACTTCTACTTTCATGCTCCCATTCAGTCTGCCCAACAGCATAGGAGACGGGCCAAGCCAGGGTATGCATGAGAAACTGACAGTGAGAGAGATACTTTATCCCAGTCATACTCCAAGTTTAAAACAAGAGGGAACCGGGAGCTTGACTTCCTTATAGAATGTGTAATCCATCTCATAAAAGCCATCCACACATCCACGCCACTTTTCATTCCCAAGTCAAGCTGATCCCCTGGGAAGCAAACACAGCCTTAGAGCCCAGAACAGTTGCTCCACCTTTAGACAGGACTCCTCACGGGATCTCCCAAGCATTGGAAAGGAATGCACCCTACATGATCTTTGGAGTCTGGGATGGTATAGAGAGTCAGAATGCTACAGGGGTTAACCGCCTTGCCCCCATGCCCAAGAACTGGCCCTGACAACTTAATAGGAAGGAGAAGGGAACAGGGGTCATTCCCTATCTGCATATGGCTGAACTCAAGGCCCCATCACGGTGAGTGACCGCCACTGGGCTGAAACTCAACTGTAAGTGGTGCTTTCTAGATAGCCACAGTGATGAGTTCCTGCATGAGAGGACAGGGCCATATGATGTCTTCCTTCTGAGCTCAAAGGCAGGGCCTGGTGGGAGAGAGCTGGGATGACTTAAGGGTACAATGACAGATATACAGGACTTCTGTGCAGTTTGTCCCATGGGCTTGGAATGCAGGTCACAGACAGGCCTAGCCTTAAGAAAACCATGTCCCGCCATCTGGATTGACACAGGAAATAAATGAGGGAACAATGATTCACTCTACAAAAGGATTCTTCACTTTACAAAAGGACTTGTGGTAGTTATTTCTTCAAAAGATGAATGATAAGGATTTGATTTACAAAAATGTCATGTACAGCTTTTGGAGGGGGGCACTCCTATTGCATTAAACCAACCTCCCAGGCACACCCTTGAGAACTGGAAGCTGCATAATCAAGGGGTGTGTAAGTTTCTGTTAAGCGAATGTGCATGTTTGGGTCTTGGCCAAGGCCTGGTCTCTGACTAGATTACCCCTGCCCTAGAAGTGGGGCTGGATCCTGGATCATATTGAGACCTAGAGATCCTACCAATAACAGAAGTCAAGCAAAAATCCCAATTGCAAAGAATTCATAGGACAGATTTTGTGCTCATTTCAGAACAGAGACCTGACCACTGGCACAGATGTCTTGCAGCAGGGAGATCCTTGCCAGCACCCAGGGGCATTCACAGGCAGGGCTGCAATCCATGACCAGCACCAACACACACCCACCACCATGAACAGCGATGTGTAGGAGTTGAAGCCCACATGCCCAAAATAGCTCCTGCTAATGTCACTCTAATATCATTTTCCTTTTCTCTGCCTTCACACAAAGCCCAACAGGGCACACTCAAGGCTGCAGACTCGTCCCCACAGCCACAGGATGAGGAAGGCAAGTCTCAATGGGGAGAAAGCAGAGCTTTGGTCCCCAGGGCAAGAAGAAAGGGCTACTGGGTTTTCTGACCCACTGGCCCAGCCAGTTAAGAGCAGGCTGTCCACTGGCCATCTTCTTCAACCAGACCCTGAAGAAGGCACCTCGAGGCTTGTGACTGCAGCAGCTGGCAAGCTGGATGGATCGACAGGGTCCTGGGTGAAGATGGGGCTCAGGAAATGGGCAGCTATTGGGTACCTATGTGTTTGGACAAAAGTGGCCACAGAGCCACCCAGCCAGCCTGGGAGGGGCCAAAGGCAAGGTGGAGGCTGTTGGATGCCTCAGGTGAGATTTGACAACCCCAGGTCTCAGCAAAGACAGGGCTCCCAAACTCCAGGTCAAAAGCAGTGACTCTCGAGCCTCTTACTTGGGAAGTATTAGGGACTGGGGGAAGGGGAAGACCGTGCCGTCTCCATAAAAAGTACCTACCACTTTGCTCCCTTTTTCTGTCCTCCCACTGAGACAGGGAACACAAAAGCCAGCCCCAGGGTCAGTAAAGGCTTCCCAAAGTTCAGACATCAAGGAAAGTTCACTAAGTCCATCGCCCTGCTTCAGAGCTGCCCAATTCTTAACCTCCCTGCCCCACAGCCCACCATCCCAGTGACCTAAGGGCATCCTCCTGGCTGATCCGGGTGGTCCAGGCCCATCACCGCGGGCCAGCTCCATCAGTGGCAGGCAGCATGGCCGGATGCAGGCTGCGGGCCGTGTGCTTGGGTGCTGGCTCCTCTGTGTAGCTGTCCGGGCTGGCTGCTCCGTCCAGGGAGCTGCCACAGCTGGAGTTAGGGGAAAGCACATCCTGCAGGAGGTCGTCTGGGGGCGCACCACCTCCTCCACCCCCTGCACCCCCGCCACCCCCCACCACAGGGTCCTTGCCAGGCTTGGCCCGCTGGCTGCCCTCCTCCTCCTGGTCATTGAGCAGCTTGGCCAGGAAGTTAATGTATTTCATGGCCAGGCGGAGGATCTCATTCTTGCTGAGCTTCTTGTCTGGGGGATGAGTGGGGATGAGCTTGCGGAGCTCAGCAAACGCCCCATTCACATTCTGCTGCCGCCACCGCTCCCGGCTGTTGGTAAAGATGCGCCGCACAACTTTGGTGTGGGGACCTGGAGGTTAGGAGAACAAGGGTTAGGAAAATGGGCTGGAGAGCCCCCAAACGAATCTCCACCCACTGGGAAACTTGGGAACCCAGAAATGTCTTCTTTACTTTTACTTACAAAACATGCATCCTTTAAAATCAAGTTCCTATGTTTCCTCCTCTTGGAGAACTTCCCTCAACCCCTGAGGACAGATCAGACCAACCACCATGGTCCAACAATCCCTGATCTCCTTCACTAGTGACTGTTACATTTCTGTGCTTGTCTCCCTCTCTGGGCTGTGAGATATTTGAGGACAGGGACCATCTGTCATTCACTCATTCACTTGTGCCAACAGGACTTATAGCAGTATTTAGGAAGACAGATTCTGGAGCCAGACTTTCTGGGTTCAATTCCTGACTATTTGACCATTTCTGACTAGCGACTCTGGGAAAGTTACACAAACACTCTGGAAGTGCCTTAGCTTCATTTATAAAATGGAAATAATACTATTAATCAAGTCATAAGATTGTCACATGGGTCTAATACCTAACACAGGCAAAGGACTTAAGGCAATACCTTCCTCAGCTTAAACAGTCAATAAATGTCAGCTATTATTATGCATTCATCAGTTTTTTTACTAACAACCAGGCAATGTGTCAGGCACTAAGGAATAATGACAAACGAAACAAACAGGGCCCCTGCCCTCATGGAGCTTACATTTACATGGGGAAGAGAGATGATGAACAAGTAGCAAACAAATAAAAACACAAACAAGGCTGAATGGTGATGGAGAGTAGCTGCTATGTTTACCTACAGAGTCTGGGGAAGGCCCTTCTGAGGAAGTGGCATTTATAAGGCAAAAGCTTAAGACTAAAGAAGAGCCAGGCAAGCCCAGGAAGGGAAGAGGAAGAAGAGTGGCCAAGCAGAGGGAGTGGCATGTGCACAGGCCAAAGCTAGAAGCCAGTCTGGCTGGAGTAGTGCACACACAATCAGAGTAGGCAGGTCCAGCCCCCCCGGGGCTCTGCAGTAAGGCGTGGGGATTTTATCCCAAGCGTGATGAGAAGCACAGAACGGGGGCTTAGTAAATGTTTGCTGACTGACCCATCGTGGTGGCAGGTGGGGGAATGGAGGGGAGAGCAGAGGCCAGAGCAGAAAGGCTCTCACCCCAAGAGTAGAGAAACCAGGCACAGCTATGGCCTGGGGCTCTAGGCAGACTCCCAAGGGCTCCCTCAGGGCTGCCTCCCCATGTCTACATAGTACTGATTATAGCTTGGTCCAGTAGTCACTAGCATTCCATGTACAAAAACTTAGGGAGCAGTGACAGACACCAGGACACATGTATTGAGCACTTACAGTATGCAAAGCGCTATGCCAAGTGTTCAAGCCTGATCTGGGATTCCCAAAGCCAAGAGAAGACAAGGAGGGCCCTGCCAGTGCTCCTGAGCTCCTGGACTGAGCAGACAGCTTCCTTCCCTAGCACCAAGGTACACACGCAGCCTCACACTGTCCTCAGGAAGCTCTGAGCACTGAAGGAACTGCCAGTCCTGGGATATCTATCTGCCCTCTTCCAGTAAGGAACCAGAACCTCAGAATGTGGAAACTTGGGTGGGTGAGAGGGAAGAGGAAGGGCTAAGACCTCCCCTAAGCCCCAATGCTCATTTTACAGCTAAGGAGACTGAGGCAAGGATGGAGGCAGACCTTGCCTCAGTGGTCAGGCTGCGACCCAGCACGCTGTGTCTACACTTACTGCCTGATCGCCTCTTTCTCTCTCCTACATGCACGTGCACACTCCCCCCCCTCATATGCTCCCGGGCAGGGTCACCCATGCCCTGCCCACACCACCTCTGAAACGGTCTTTCTGAACCCCAGCAGGCTCCAGCTCAGCTGACTCTTTGCCAAAGACCAAACCCAGGCTGGGAAACACAGTACACCTGCTGGGCAGTCCTACCCTGGGCTGCCTCAGAGGAAATAATTTGCTGTTCTTGGGCCACCAGGCCAGAGGGAGGGAGTCCCTCAGCTGTGACATAGGGGAGACCAGTCCCTGCACCGTGGCTTATGCTGGTGATCTTGAGGGAGCTCCTAGTTGGGGAGGAGTCACTATGACTGCTGTCACAGAGCTGGACTGACTCCAGAAAGGGAGGTGGGTGTTGGTGGTCAGAACTTATTCCAAAGCTTAAGACTAGTGCTATGAGAGTGGTACAGGACATGCTGTGTGACCTCAAGTAAGCTTCTTAACCTCTCTGAGCTCAATTTCCTCACCCATGAAATGCAAACAATAATGTTGATCTCACGGGCTTGTGGTGAGGATTAAATAAAACACAAGCACACGAAGTCCATGGCGCATAGTAGATGTCCAATAAATGGCAGCGATTATTGTCTTCACCTGCCCCCACCCCCATCCCCACCCCCTGAACCACAGCCAGAGGACTGCTCCGAGATGAGCAATGTGCCGGGCACTAGGAGTACCATCACAGAAACAGACAAAATCTCCACGTTAAGGAGGTTCCAGTCTCTGGTGAAGAGGGGACTACCGCCCCTGTAAATCTCATTGTTCTCTCTCAACAATCTGAGAGGAGGCTATTATTCTTCCCATTCACAACCTCGGAAACTGAGGCCCAGAAAAATACAGCAATAGGAAATCGCATCAAGCCCTGACTCTAGATCTTGCCTTAGTTCCACCCCTATGGACTCTTTCTGATTCAATCTCTAATTCCAAAGTCCCATGGACACATCCTGCATCCCCCCCCTTCACCTATAGTTCTGCCTTTTCCTCTCTGGCTGCTTCTCGGAGAACCATCCCTTCTTTGCACCTTCCTCCTTCCTGAGTCTGACCATCCTTCTGCCTCTCTGGCCCAGCACTGAGTAGGTGCTCAGTGTGATGGCTTCCCTACTACTCCTGCACTCCCTGCAAACACCCTCCACTCCCGTGCTCACCTCCTCCGCCTCTTGTGAAAAATGCCACTTCCCTGGAGAACTTAGGGCTGGTCCTGCTTACTTCCTGTTTGGTGCATCCCTCTGCCCTTGACTGGAGAACTCCTCTCTAATCTAGCAGCACTGCACCCCTGGCACCCTTCCCTCTCAGCCCCACACACCCGTGCCCCAGGCTGCTTGGGTCTTTTGAGGTCTCTTCTATTGTCTGGACTGCAGCGCCCCCTCTGGATGTCTCCAGAACATCACAGAGGGCTGGCTCCAGCTCCATACACACATCCCTCCTGCCAGTCGCTGGTGTGAGTCCCAGCCTGCCTCTGAGGCCTCAGGTGCCCTTCCTATGGGAGCCCCAGGCCGCAGCCTGGAAGAAGCCCTGGGAGCACCACAGATTTGCTTAAATCCCTCAGCTCTAAAGAGCCTGCTCTCCTGCCCCTGGTGGCGGGACGCTTCTACTACATCAGGTCAACCCTGGGAAGAGGCTGAGGGTCCTCCAAGTCTCCCACTCATCCAACCCCTCCTGCAAGTTTAGGGCCAAAGAATAATAATGTTGATCTCACGGGCAGTGCTGAGACCCTTGTGGGGCAATCCAGGGAGCAGGGTAGAATCTATGGTGTCAGGAAGGGAACTCCAGGTCTCAGCCCAAAATGCACAGCAAGGGACAAAGGGGGCCCCTCAGTGTAGGGGCCTGGGAGGAAACGCTTGAAAACACCACTCCAGTCAGGAAGCAGACTCTAAACTCCAAAGAGGAACTGGGAGGAGGTACAGGGAATCCCTGAGGATCAGGGCCTAGAGTCAGGGGGCACCATGTGATTCCGCCCTCCCCTGGAACCCCTGCCAAAGTGCAGAAACACAGCTTAGAGTGGGCACTGGAGCAGACTCTAAAGGTTGGGGCTAAGCACCACTATGTGTCCCTGTCCCATGTTCCCTCTTCCCAGGACTGTGAGTGTGGCCCTCTCAGATCCACCACTCAGACTTCACATAGTTCCAGCTCAGTTGCAGGGTGAAGGGCTTCGTCAGTTTGGGGTCCCAAGGTGACCTGCCCACACCTACGGAGTAGTCCCCAATGTTCCCTCCTGCAGAGGGCTCTAACCAGCATGAGGGGCAGATACAAAGGTAGGATGGGGAGACTCACCGTCAGTAATCTCCATCTCATAGGGGGAGGGTCTCCTCTTCACTCGGTTGTTGGCAGTGAACATAGGGAAGGCATCAGGCTCCCCAAAGAACCCACTGGGGGAAGGAACAGGCAGACCACAAGATCATACATTGGGTGGAGCAACAAAGAGATTCCTTAGGATTTTCCCTACATATCTTAAGCCACCCTGACCCCTGGAGGGCAACCCTGCTCCCTTCACATTTGCACCGGGTACACACACACACACACACACACACACACACACGGAATGCCCCTACCCTTTCCATCATGAAACAAGCAAAGGGAGGAGGAGCCACATATCCATGCTCCACACACACACACACACACACACACACACACACACGGAATGCCCCTACCCTTTCCATCATGAAACAAGCAAAGGGAGGAGGAGCCACATATCCATGCTTCCCTACACACACACACACACACACACACACACAAACAGAAGCGAACATGTGGAGCAAACACAAAACGAACACACACACACACACACACCACAGACACACTCTCCTCCCCTGGAAACAAGCACACAATCCACACAGACACCTCCATCCCCAAATATGTACCCACACAGGCAGATGTGACCTTCATACCTGATGTGCAACTCCAGCACATTCTCCCCTCCCCCAGCCTCCCTCCTCCTTCCTCGTGTAGCCACGAGGGGCTGTGGACAGACAATGGACAGGACACCCTGACTCCCCACCACTGAATACCCCTGCCGCTCTGTCACCCCCACTCTGCACTCTCTATAGCTGTTTTTTCAGAGTCTCCCGCAGACTCACTGACTGTCCCACCCTCTCTATCCCTGCCTCATCTTCCTGTCCTCATTCCAACCCTGCACCTTTCTCCATGATCACTGTGGCCCCAGCAGGGAAACAGATGCCCTCACACCAAAGGGAGTACAGGCCAGGTGCAGGGACCACAGCTAGGGCCAGAGGGGCTGGGAGTGAAGGGACAGATTGGTCCTCAGGCCTGTGATCCAGCAGAGATTCAAAGAGGGGTGCCCACTGCCATCACCCCCAGATACTTATCTCTTGCCTGTCCACCTAGCATTGCAGGTTCCAGAAAAATTTCACACCCCTAGCAGCAAACATCCTCCTCTGCTCACAGAGGAGCACATTCAGACACACTCTTACCTGGTACCCACACTCGGGGGACTCCCTCCCATGGACCCACACCGCCATCACACAGCACACCGTGCTTCCACTCACAGCAGCCGCGAGCCTGCACTGCACCCCGCCCCCGTGCACCCCCGCCCCTGGGCTTCCAGACACCGAGCACCCCCAGCCACATACACTCTCCCACAGAGGCTCCTCTCTCTCTTGCGCGGCTGGCGGTGGGGGTCCGCAGCTTCTAGGCTCTTACGCCCCGGGTTTTAAAACGACCTCCTCTCTCCCTGCTCCACCCGCACAGCCCCGCAGGTAGGAGTGTAGCGGCCGTGGAAGAGCGCGAGGGGCGGTCGCCCTGCCCGCCCGCCCTCCCGCCCAGCCCCAGTCCGGTCCCCGTCCCTGACCTGCCGAGCGAGGCCAGCGGCTGGCTGAGGCTGTAGAGCAGCGCGCGGCCGGGGGCGGCGGGGGCCGCCAGCGCGGGCGGGCTCAGCTGCACCATGCGGCTGTCGCTGGGCAGCTCCGCGGGGGCCGAGGCGGGTGCGGGGGCCGGCGCGGGCCCGGGAGGTCTGCACAGCTCGGTGGTGGGCACCCGAAGGCGCGCTTCGGCCGCCGCCGCGTCGCGGCCCTTTAAGTCTCTGCCGGCGCCGCCCCCACCGGCGGGGCCGCCCCCCGGGCCGGCGCGCGAGCCCAGCTCGATGACTGGGGGCTCCGCTGGGGCCGCGCGGCTCGTCTCCTTGGCGACGCCGTTCAGCAGGACCAGGTGCGGGGGGGCCATGCGGGCCTCGGCCGCGTCCCGTCCCTCTAGCGGGGGGTCACTGCGAGCCGCCTCGCTCGGCGGCCGCTCCGTCATCCTGCGGGCAGACAGACAAGCGGTCGCCGGCTCTGACAATCGCCCCAGCCCACCGACACTGGGTGGGGCAAGGGGGTGAAGAGGAGAGAGAACTCAGGGACCGAGATAGTAGAAGAGGCCGACAAACTTAGCGCCACGTGGACACACACCCGCCCTCCCGGCCCGAAGGCCGGGCGGGGCTTGCGCGTGAGGGAAAGGGGGTCTCTGGGTTGGGAGAAGGGAGATGGGTGCCTGGGAGACACAGAGACTGAGGGCCAACAGGACAGAGATGGAGAAAGATGACAGAGGCATGGGGAGGGGGGAGGAATACAGCCAGCAAAAGAAAAACAAGGGATAAAAGGAGGAAGGAAATGTACAAAGAGGCGAGAAAGATTACCCCGTCCCCCTACTCGGAGCGGGAGAGAAGAGGAGGGGACAAATTCCCAGCGGGGTTCTTCCTGGTCGCCTTCGGTTTGGCCTGGGACTCTATCAGGCAGGAGTGCTTTTGGAACCTCCCTTCGCCTTTCTGCAACACCCACCCGCAGCCTACCGCCAGACACCTGCCCAGAAACCTGGTGGGGATGGAAGTAGGGAATTAGGGAATGGGTACCGAGACTGCAGTTCCCTCTGCCAGAGCTGGCAAAGAATGATCTGGAGGAAGCAGCTTCCCCCACACACATATTCACCCCTCTGGGGCGTGGGGGTGTCTGTCTGCACTAAGCAAATCTACTGTGGATTCTGTACCCTGCTGGAAACCCCAGCTACCTTTTACTTGCATTCAGTTCTGGAGATGAAAGGTCCACCAGGGAAAAATATGATCCTGGCCCTACCCCCTTGCACCTGGTTCTGTTCAGCTGGACACCAGGCAGGACTCAGAAGTGAGGGCAGGTCTGAAAGGGAGGCCTGGCTGAAGTGGTGTGGACCCCGGGCATTCAAAGGCCAGTGGGGCACAGGTTCCAGTGTAAGAGCAGGACAAGGTATTCTTCCCAGGTTGTAAAGGTCCTTCCAGCACCCGCCCCCTTTCCTGCCTCCTGCCTCCATGTTCTTCTTTGGAAAATAGGAGGAATACCTGCTTTGTGCACTTAAAAGAACTGTGCAAATATTCAAGTAAACATGATTATTTTTAACTAGGAGAATGGGTCAGTGAGAGGACTGCCTGGCCTAAAGTCGCCCAAAGCCGGCCTATTTCAGAGCCAGACCAGAACCCTCATCTCACTTTGACTGCTCTACCCACCCTTCCATGTGTATGCCACAAGCATACTGCAAGATGACTACAACTGCTCCCCTCCCCACAAGTGTGTTGGGTTCTTCCACCACCTGGCTTCATCCAGATGGAATCAAGCCCCAGCAAGAACCAAAAGAAAAAAACCAGGAGACTCTAGATCCAAAGTTTGGGGATGCTTGTGAGGTTTTAGTAGCTAATACAAAATAAATAAAAACACACAGCCAGGCATGGTGGTGCCGGTGTCTGTAGTTCCAGCTACTCCGGAGGCTGAGCCGGGATTATTGCTTGAGCCCAGGAGTTTGAGAAGACCAGCATGGGCAACATAGTGAGACCATGTCTCAAAAATAAATAAAAATAAATAAATGAAATAAAAAACAAAAACATAATCAACTCAACAGGCTTTATAAGTTGTTCAAAATAAGGCTTTTGCCCAGAATTATATAATTGGGGGCTGTTTTTGTTTTTTTAACAGTCTCACTGTTGCCTGGCTAGAGTGCAGTGGCAGCATCAGAGCTCACCACAATCTCAAATTGCTGGCCTCATTCGATCCTCCTGCCCCAGCCTCTTGAGTAGCTGGGACTATAGGCGCAGGACACGACCCCCAGCTAATTTTTCTATTTTTAGTAGAAATGGGTCTCACTCTTGCTCAGGCTGGTCTCCAGAGCTCAAGCGATCCTCCCACCTCGACCTCCCAGAGTGCTAGGATTACAAACTATACTTGGGGTATTTCAAAGCAGAAAATAATACACAATCCAATTTAGCAACAAGAAGAGTCCATCTAAATATTCATGGCAGCCATTGAGTTCCCATTATGCCCCTGCAACGCTCTCCACCAGACTCATTCTGGGAACAATCCCTCCCACCCCAAGGAAGATTGGACCTTCCGGAGCCTCCTCCGGAGCCCAGTTCAATTGCTCTGACACCGGAGCTGAGGGAGAATCCCGATTCAGACTGAGCGTCTGCTCTGGGTCTGCCAGTCCCCCAGCCCGGACCAGAAAAGACAAAATTCCCCAGGACCTGGTGTACACGAGCTGCAAAGGCCGTGTGGGTCCCTGACACTTCACTGGAAGCGAGTTTACGACTACAGCGGAGACAATAGGTTTGTAACCACAGAATGCGACCGCCAAGACACCGCGGCCACTGGAAATGCACCAGAAGCCTATCAGCCCAGTCCTTGCTCCCTGCAGCGTGAAATGCGCCAGAAATACACCAGCCCCTGGCGAAACGTGCAAGCCCCAGGGTGCTGGCTCCCTACCTCATTGTCCCGACACACCAGCGTGTGCCCGTGACCTGTGCTTCAGCTCCAGCTTCTAACCGAGTGACAATGTGCCCTGCAATTGCAGACTGAGCTTAAGCTCTGTTATGACACACTTATACCCTCTGATTAATTCCTCAGCTCCGCGCAATAGGAGCGGGTTCCCGAGGGGCAACGGGGAGTGAGTACATATTCCAGATGAATTGATCCTGGCCCCAAATGCCCTCACCAGACGCCTATAAATATCCATATCTCCAACTCTCCCTGTGAGAAAGGTATGATTGGCCCCCCCCAGGTCCACGTCCCCCCAGGCGGACGTCTCCCGGGCCCTCCCGGATCCCAGGAAAATCCGCCCGCTCTTCTGCTACCGGGATCACCCTGGCCGAGGCAGCCACCGGAAAACTCCGAATCGAGCACCGAACGTTGTCGCCAATTAAACGGCATCACTTGGCTTGGGTTAAGATTACAGAAAAGAAAGCCTGAGTGATTTCCATTTATTTGTTTTTATTTGGGGAGGATGGAAGAGAAGGGAGAAGGTTTCGCACTAAGTCGCAGGGCCCTAGAGTATTCGACCATGGCGACTCCTCTCTTTGTGCCGCGGAGACCTAGCTCGCAGCCCCTACCACCGAATCCTCGGCGCCAGTTGCCAGAGGGCCGGAGCGTTTCCCCGCGGCCTGACCGAGACAGGAGAGCCCGGAGCTCCGGCCGGGGTAAGCGAGGGGTCTCCAGCAGCTCCCTATCTCCGGCACAGAGAATTTCTTAGATGAAAACAGCCATCGCCTTAGACGCGGCCTCGGGTCCCTCCTACTGCACCCACACTCTCAAGACAACCTGGGGTAGCCCCAAGCTTGCACCAGAACCAAAACCGCAAGTGAACTGCACCCCCACCCCCACGGCTGCGGGCGCGGAAGGGTGTTCCAGCGCGGCCCCGCCCTAGGCCTCAGGCTCCGGGTCAGGGCCCACCGGCGGGGACTGCGCTAGCCAGCCAGGCTGCAGCCTTTTTCCTGCTCTAAATCCAGACATCGCCTGCACCACCCGGATATAGCCGCCCCAAAGTTACTGGCCTTATGAAACGTCCACAGAACCCAGACCGATGGGACAGGCCTGGAGGAGTAGATCCAGCCAGCAGGTTTTAGCCAGGGAGGAAAAAAGGAAAGGGCCCTGCTTCCAGGCCACAGAGGCCGCTAGCTGCAGTTCAGATTCCGAGCCCGAGCCCAGCGCTGCTCTCCCCTCCCCCAATCTGAGACTGGGCTGTCCTCGTCCTGAGCCTCCCCAAACCCGGGCCGGAACCCAAGGCCTTTCTGGACATTGTTTCCACCGACACCATCTCCCACTCCAAAAACTCACCTGGGGCATATTTAGAGATACCACCCCCTCTGAATAGGATCTCCACTCCTCCGCCTGAGCAGGGCGGAGGCCGATGTCGAGGCTGTGGACTGGGGTCTTTGCTCTCCCCCTCTCTCGCTGCGAGGCCGGCAGTTAGGCTGCGGTGTGGTCCTCCGCGGTCTGCCGCGCCCAGAGCGAGTTTCCAGGAAAGATGGGGGGTGGAGAGAAAGAGGGAGGGCGAGAGGGAGGGAGAGAGAGAAATGGGGGTCAATGGCTGGGAGTTACCTCATGTCCCCGGATAACCAGCCCAGGGAATAGCGAACAGTTTTCCGCCCCCAACATGCAGGTGTTTGCAGCCGCCCCACAACCCCCAATAAAAAGGAACCCTACACCTGACCAATCAGGAATAACTATTTAGTCCAACAACAACCACCCCTCCCGGCAGGCTGCCCAGAACATTTTCGAACCCTCCAACTGGGATCGATCTGGTTCAGTGTGGCCGAGTTTGTTTTCTAAGCACCGACGTGTCTACGCGGTCGGCTCAGTACCCCGGGCCAAGCTGGAGCTGCCGCCACATCGCGAAGGGTACTCCCGGGCTTGATGTGGCTGAGTGGGAGGATGTGTCGAAAAAGGCTACCCTGGTCGGTTTGGCAGAACTTTGGAGACTCCTATTCTCTCCACGACCCCCACCCACCTCCAGCTCAAAGTGAAACCGCAACCCAATTCCAAGGACTGTACTTTCCTATAGGATTGGGGTGGAGGGGTCGAATATGGTCTATTCAGGTCCCTTCTTTTCTTCCTACTGATTAAGAAAAGAAAAAAAAGAAAGGAAAGGGGGAGAAAGGAAAGAAAGAAAAGAAAGGAAAAGAAATTCCTCACCTTTACCACCACTACAAAACGATTTTCGATTTTTTTCAGGGGTTTAGACAGGCAGAGTAGGGGGAATTCTAATAATTTGTTGCAGCAATAAACAAGGCAAAAGGAAGAGAGGCTAAAAACAAACCCGATACTGCTTCCAAGGGTGTAGCCGATTTCGTTTGCTTTTATTTTTTCCCCAGTGGGTTTTGTTTAATTTGTTTTGCCTAAATCGTCCAGTTTATGATCACACATCGAAGTCTTCCTTCTATTCTAATCGTGAAGGCCTCCTTCTGTTTGCCGTAGCTTTGGTGGAAATATAGGAATAATTCTTCCCTGGGTTTCAATACAATGCAGAAGACTTTCTCCTCCTCTAATCCAAACGAAGGCGGGGAGAAAAAAAGGGAGAAAAAATCCACCCTTTGCAGGCGTTAGTTCGGGGATAACGTTCGTTTTATGACGGAGCCTCTGCGTCCGTCCCTCTCTCCATTTTCTCTGCCTACCCCAAACTCTGCAACTTGAAAAACAGCTGCGGGCGGGCAGCAGCGCTGCTTTGTTCTCCCTCCAAATAAGCTAAAAGGGACAATCTGCTGCGGTCTCGGACGATTATTTTAATTAAAATAGGGTATTAATGATGACGATTGTGATGGTGATGGTATTAACAAGCACACTAACTGGCAAAACGAAGTCCTCTCATCCCGAGCACGGACAGCAGTAACCCCATCCCTCCACCGAGCCCGGGCTCCGCGGTGCTCGCCATCGTGACGGTCCCGGACCCCCGCGGGGATGTCGCTCACCCGAGAGGGGCAGGAAAATGTTCCCCGGAGGGGATCCCGAGGGTCCCCACCCTAGGCGCGAGGCCTGGAGAATTGCCCATTGTCCTCTCCTGGCCTCTCCCCGGACCCTGGAGGCCGCACCCATGAAACTGACCAGAAATGGACGTGGCCGAAGTGTGGCGGGAACCGAAGCCCGGGGCTACCGGCGTGAAGGCTCGGGCCTCGGCGAGCGCTGCTCAGCTTCGCGCCTGGAACAGCCTCCCACTCGCCACCGATCCCCTCAAACAACCAAGGCACAAACTGGCCTTCGGACAGAGCAGCCGCCGGCCGGGCTCTGTCGGCCCATCCAAGCCGACGCTGGCTCCGGAATACATCATAATTTGGAATAAAATGTGCAATCCCGCTCCCCACCCCCCAAGCCGCCACCCCCACCAGAGCCTCGATCTCCCGCTCGCCCTCCCCCACTCCCGCCCCCAGCGATTTGCAAACGATCTCTAAAGGACGCGGCACACAGGCACCCAGCTCTGTGGGGACGCGACCACACATGGCCCAGCCCCAGCGATGGGAAGCGAATAAACACAACCCAACACGGCCAACCCAACACTGCCCCACAAGCCAACGTGGTCAGCCCCGCACACCGGCCAACATGACACAACAAAATCAGTCAACTGCAGTCTCCCCACGGACACACAACCAGCATCGTCAGGGTCACGCAGGCCCGACGTAGCAACGAAGCCACCCAACACAGTCGCAAAGGCCACACAACCCAACACACGGGACAGGAGAGGAGCCTGTTGACCGTCACAACGAAGACAGCGCAAAGGGTCTGGAAGGGCCCAGATCTACACACCCGCCCGCGCAGACACCACCACTCTAGACACACGACCCGCCGCCCAGAAGGCCACACTCGGGGACAGTCGGCTCTGCTCACAGCTCACACGAACGCACTCTCACAATGCCACCGCATGCACACAACCACGGAGAAGAAATGAAAACCAACCACCGCCTCGCGCGCTCCTGTATATTGCGTAAGGAAAAAGGGGAAGGAAGAGAGTCTCCAAGGCGGGAGGGGCGGCGGCAGCGAGGGCGGGGGCGTCGGGGGAAAGTGCTCCCGGGCCGAAAGGAACCGAGGGAAAAGGATCGAAGACCTCCTTTGCGGGCGTGCGGGAAAAGAGGGAGGAAATCGATGAGGAATTCCGTGGGGGGCCTCGGGGTGCTTTTCCTCTAGAACGGGCCGGGATGCTCACGTTTCTCCGCCGCGGGGGTCCGCGCGTGGCCATTTTGCGGCCGGGTCCTCGGCTGCGAGCGGCCCGCGGCGCCCGACCCGCGCCCGCGCCGCGCGCCGCGGCGCGCCGCCCGCCCGGCCGCCCCGGCGCGCCGCGCCCCGCGCCCGCGCGCGGCGCCGCGCGGCGCGCCCGCCCGCGCCCGCCGGCGCCGCCCGCCGCCCGCCGCGCCGCGCGCGCGTTAATCCGTCACGTCCCGCCTCGGTTCCAGAGTGGCGCGGCGCGCCGGCCGTGTGCGCCGCCGAGTAGCGGCCGCGTCGCCGCGCCGCCGATAAGAGCGCGGTCGGCCATTATGCCAAGTGAGTGTGTTAGGTGCAGTTTCACCGGAGGGAGCGGGGCAGCTGTTGCGCGCGCGTGGGGACCGCTCGAATGCGCCGCGGAGAGAGACGGCGCGCTGCGAGGGCCGGAGAGCCAGCCCCTTCTCTGACCCCGCGTCTGCCAGGAACGCCCAGGGCACGAACCTCCGTCCCGTTCGGCCTTCCAGACACTTTCTTCAGCCATGCTCACGCGGACACTCTGCGCCCCGGAAGCACCAAGACACAAAGTCATTACCTCCAACCCTTCTTTTCATGGAGACCCAGGCATTTCATTGGGCAGTCCCTTTATTCCCAGAAAGTCCCAGTTCCTCATGGTCTTAAAGTAGAGCGATGAGCAAACCCAAGGGCCTGTTGGCTATGATGTCAAAGAGAATTAAACTGTCCATTACTGCTCGGTCCAGGCTGAGCCAGAGCACGGACACGCTCCGACACATACAGTTTGAAAACATTTTATTTGCTACTGAAGCCCGTATTCTAGGCCGGTCTTACAGATCGACTGCATGTGACTCTTCATAAATGTGCTATAAGTTGGGTGCGTATTGATTCATCCTCGGATTTAACTGATGAGGGAAAGCAGAACAGAAGTGTAAAAGTCCTTCCCAATGTACAGGGGTAGTTAGCGATGGGAGCTCGTATTTGAAGAAATGGCACCAGAGGACTTCGTCTGGCTGCGCTGGTGAAGAGGAGACCAGGACCTGGGCTGCATGAGGATCTCGACTCAACTCCTGCCAGGACCAAGATCTGTCCACGTGGCCATACTGGGGACTGTTCAGCCATGAGAGTATTGGGGGTTGATTCTTCATGGCGCGGAGGGTAGAAAACTCACAGGCTTAATTGTACTCACGTAGTCGGACCTAGTGCATGCTGTAACGAGGAGACTGATGCCTACGTACGAGAGGGAGATTAGATCAATGCCTCATAAAAGTAGTGAGAGGGATCATGTATGGACTTCCCCCAGCCCATGGCCTGGAACATCATACACACTTGCATGGGCGTTCTGGCTGTCATCATAGAGAAGGAAATTGAGGCACAGTGAAATGTGACCTGGCCAGAATTTACAGTGACCCAGAGAAAAAGCCAAGATCCAAACTCCGGTGTCCAAGTCCACAACTCTACCCATCATGCCAGGCCGCTTTGTCCTTCCAGTATCTCTGGTTTTGAGCCTGTGAACAGGGGGAAAGTCCCTAGTTTGGTCACAGACTGAGTCCTAGGCAATGACTGAGCGCAGAGTGTGGCCCCAGTCTGGGTTCTGGCTCCTCTTTGGTCATCAGGGCGACTCTCTGAGAAGATACAGCTAATTCAGTGTTGCCTTTGCCCTCTGGTCCTCTTGTGCTCTCTGATGGAAGTCAGACTGCCACGTGGATGCCCGTAACTGTTGCAGAATCCCATGGTAGAAGAGCTACTCATGTTCTGAGAAAAAGAGCCCAATTCCCCCTCACCTTTGCTTGGTGGCATCACTTAATAGGGTGGACCCATGTAATTTTCAGTTTGAAACCTAGCTCTGCCACTCTTAGGCTGTGGGACCCTTGGGCAAATCATTTCATGTCTCTGAGCCCCTAGAAAAAGAGTCTAGCCATTCCCATATAGGAAATCCCAGGTGGGGAATGCTTCCCTGAGAAAATGGGGCCTGGACTGAGATTTAAGAGTGGAATTTGAGGGACAGAGAGAAGAGTGAGCATCCAGAACCTTCCAGGTGGGCTGAGGAAGCAGCTGGGCCAAGGGTTGAAGCAGAAGGGCCGTAGGCTCATGAAAGGAACAGAAAAGCGTCCAATGTGGCTGGTGCAAGCTTGTGGATGACGTAAAGAATTTTTTGGAACGATTTTGTTTGATTTGAGGGTGGGCATAGTATCTTATATGGGATAAGATTTGCATTTCTAAAAAGCTCGTTGGCAGCATTGTGGACTAAGGGTGCATGGGGGTAAGAAGGACGCTGGGCGACTAGTTCTGGAGCCAATGCAGTGGTCCCGGGGAGGGGGTTAGAGGTTGGACTACCGTGGTGGCAGAAGAGGTGACAAGAGGGAGATGAAGATGATACATATTTAGTATATAAAACTTGGTTTGGGCCAGGCAAGGTGGCTCATGCCTATAATCCTAGCACTTTGGGAGGCCAAGGCCAGAGGATTGCTTGAGGCCAGGAGTTGGAGACCAGCCTGAACAAGAGCAAGACCCCCGTCTCTACAATAAAATAGAAAAATTAGCTGGGCATTATGGCACACACCTGTAGTCCCAGCTATTCAGATGGCTGAGGCAGGAGGATCGCTTGAGCCACGGAGTTTGAGGTGCAGGGAGCTATGATTGTTCCATTGCACTCTAGCCTGAGTGACAGAGCAAGACCTGTCTCTAAAAAAACATAAGGAAGAGAGGGCAGTTGGAAAGGCTTTGGGACTTTGGTCAACCCTACCATACTGCAAAGGCTTCCGTCTGCTGGGCAGAAGGTGACCGCCACCATCCCCCAACTCCACACATACGCTCTCCGCCAAGCTCCAGATTTTAACAGCCTAGCAGCCGCCTGGACATTACCCCCAAGCGTCTTCTGAGGGTTGGGGGTGTGTGACGTCTACACTCTCCCTCTCCCCTGTTTCCGACCTGTCAGTGGAAAAACGGAAACTGCGCGCTAAGCGGGGCGCCGCCCAAAATAGCATCTGGTGCCTGTCGGTCAGCGCTTTGTCCAAGCGTCCATGAGCTAGTGACACGGCCGGCGGCCCTGCCAGGAAATGCCACCCCTCCTCCACCCGCCCCAAACTGGGGCCTCAGTCGGGCAGGAAACCCAGGGCCGGCGGGGTGGGGATGGCAAGGAGGAGGGGAGGCTGGAGCGCAAGCGCAAGGGGCGGGGAGAAGAGCCAGCATGGCTTGGGGCCACTGAGGCTGTCGTCCCCTGCACCCACAGCATCACCAAAGGCAGGGTTCTGTCTAAACCCCAAAGGGAGGCTTTAAAAATTTTTCAAGTGTTTCGGCCTGCCCTGTGCTATTCTGAGCTTTCTACTCTGAGCGTGTTCTCTGGACGAGGGATGCCATGTGTGCACTCTGAAGGGCAGCCGGGTTTATTTTCAACAAATTTATATTGCAGTTTCTATGTGCCAGGTACTGTTCTAGACACTTCATAAATATTAATTCAGTTAAGACTTACAGCTCAGTGAGGTAGGACTATTCCATTTTGTAGGCAGCACAGAGAGGTTAAGCAACTTGCAGAGAACACCTGGCTGGGAAGTGGCAGAAGCATGAGGCCAGGGTGCTGCCACAGCAGCAGACCAAGTGCAGTAGCTGGGCAGACCTGAGCTCCTGTCCCTGCTCCCCGACTTACCAGTTCAGCTGTGTGATTCTAGGCAAGTTACTTGATCTGAGTTTCACTTTCCTCATCTTAGAAGTGAGGTGATAGTTGTCCATACAGCATACTGTTTGTATGAGGATTATCTTTAATGATAAAATCTTCAATTTGAGGAGATGTAATTATTTCTCCCTTCCACTTCCAAATGACTATTCTCTCCATTTTTGCCTCTGTTTCTTGCCCTGGAAGGACCCTTGCCCCATCAGTAAGCAGGCCTCAAGAATACCGAGCCCAGAGTCCTCTCTGTGCTTCCAACCCCGGCACTGCCATTGGAGTTCTCAGGGATGCAAGGGACTCCAATTCAGTCATTCTCAAAGTGGACAGTCAGTGTCACCTGAGAGTCTGTTAGGAACACACATTCTTAGGTCCCACACCAGGCCTACTATTAATAAATCAGAAACTCTGAGGGTAAGGCCCAGCAATCCATTTTCTAGGTGATTCCTGATGCATATGAAAAATTTGAGAACCACAGCTCTAGTT